GAGCCTGTCTGTATAATGTCTTGTGACGTCCACGGCCTACCCCAGTTACCACTACTGTGCATGTGTGTCAAGGACAGAAAGGCAGATGTGGCAGTGGAAGCTGTCAAAGCAGTTTTGAGAGAAAAACAAAGTAAAAAACAAAACAAAAAAAAAACGATTAATCGATTATTAAATTAGTCATCGATTACGGTATTTTAATAGTCGATTTAGTCGTCGATTAGTTGTCAACTAATCGACTAATCGTGGCAGCCCTATTTCCAGGTCAGGTTTTCATCAATAACACCCAAAAACTTCACCAACTTTAAATGAAACATCGACCATTCTTTTTCTATTACTGAATATCGTATAATTTGTTTTGTCCAAATTCAGTGATAATTCATTAAGCTTAAACCAAGTTAATTCTGTAGAGAAAACATTTGTATATTTAGCTAAAAGAAAACGAATCTAGTTTCTGTCAAAGAGCCAAAATTTGCTTCTCTGTCTCCTCCTCCTCAGTCAGCATTAATTAGCGTCCCTCTCATTAATTATAGAGTCCAGTTTCCTCTTGCAGCCTTTTAGCCTAAGTAGCTGTAGCATTTCCTCGAGTCAGCTTGTGTTGGGTGTCGGCACACGCTGGGTTGTTCACGCTCTTCGTCTCCCTCCTGCAGTCATCTACCTGACCTTCTTCCACCTCTCCTTCGTCATGTTTGTGTGGTCTTACTGGAAGACCATCTTCACCAAGCCCGCCAGCCCCTCCAAAGAGGTATAATTCTCCCCAGTTTTTTTTATCTCAGTCTGCATGTTTGTGACACACTGTCAGCAAAACGTTCGCTTAATTAAATAACTTTTTTTTAATGACCCAAGCGTCTCTTTTTTGTCTTTTTAGTTCTGCCTGCCGAAGGCTGAGAAGGAGCGGTACGAGAAGGAGGAGAGGCCAGAGTCCCAGCAGGAGATCCTGTGGAGAGCCGCCTCCACGCTGCCGCTGTACACCCGCACAGGCGCCGGAGGTACAGGCGCCTCGCCGTTTATTAATAACGTAGCATTTGTCTGAGTTTTAACTGGAACGTTTTTTATTTTTTGTTTGTTTGTTTGTTTTTTGTCACRACGTCGCAGCGATCCGATACTGTGACCGCTGTCAAGTCATCAAGCCGGACCGGTGTCATCACTGCTCCGCGTGTGACATGTAAGGGTTTATTTACTCAACACAAACTGGTTTATAATTAAACTTTTTTATTAATGACACAGCTTTTAACGCAGTTTAATTAATTATTTATTGTCCACCAATAAGGGGAAGTGTTTTTATGTTTGTTTGTGTTAGTTGGTCTTATCTCATGAACCGCTGGGCCTCTGTTTGTTTTAACCTGCTGTATTTCCCTGTGTGGCAGGTGTGTGCTGAAGATGGACCACCACTGTCCCTGGTAAAAAAAAAAAATTAAAAAAAATCTGCATCTTGCTTTTACATCTTAAAATAATTCATTATGTTTAACTTTTYGGCACAATTTTGCATCCTACCTTGAATTACTACTTAATATGTTGCTCAAATATGAAGGAAAACACCTTTATTAATGGTTAACTTTTAAATTTGATGCACGTTTTATGACGGCTAAAGGGAAAAAATGCATTTGCTTGTTGCTTTATGACTTCTGCATGTCAAAAAATACTATAAATAAATTTGATATCAGTCCAGAATGACAAAAGAGATATTCCAAAAGCAGTTCAGGGAGTGTTTGTTTATGTTCTCTGGTGTGTTTGATCTTTTCGTGTCCGCAGGGTGAACAATTGCGTTGGCTTCTCCAAYTACAAGTTCTTCATCCTTTTCCTGGCCTACTCGCTGGTCTACTGTTTGTTCATTGCGGCCACAGTTCTGCAGTATTTCATAAAGTTCTGGACAGTAAGTAAAAGACACRGTGATGTCCGGTGAATCCGTGTTTGTCTCGTTCTTTGGGTTTTCTTCCATTTCAAAATAAAATCGCAAAAAGAAAACGACTTTTTTTTTTCATTTTCAAAATGTAAAATCAAAATAAAATAAAAAAAATCCAGTGTTTGATTTTAGCTTTGCTTAGCCAAATCCAAAATAAAATAAATGTGGTTGTTTATTGTGTAGTAATACAGTAAATGACAGCAGTCGTCAAAGAATAAGAGTTTATAGYGGCTGGAAGACGACTGCATAAAAACAGAAACCGTAAAGATATTGGCAAATGGCTGCACTTGAACCTTATTCTGCATAACTTGGAATGGCAAATCAGTTTTGTTCATGGTACATTCGACTTCTTTTAAATAAGACTTCTATCTGTTAAGTTCCGGCCATGATGATCTCTGATTCTGCCATGAAGGAACAAATGATGCTCTAACAAAATATAAAACTTGTTGTTGCTTTAACTGTTAAAACAAATGAAATTTTGTTATTGTTATTTTAAATTTAGTTCTAAAAAAAAAGGAAAAAACACCCAATTATTTGTTTTTCTTGTTTTATTTTGAAATGATAAAAAAAACAAAGGGGTTCCGATGCTTTGGCGTGTGGAGATTGCGTTTGAAGGAGCATCTCTTGGGCCGGTCGTGCTGATATTCCTCCCGACCCTCTTGTCACCCTCTGGCCTCCCTCTCTGGTCCCCCGTCTGCTGTCCAGACCCRTTCCACAGCGGGTCATTGTTCTCTGATCCCTCTTTTCTGTGTCCACAATGGGAGCCATCAGTTGCCCCACTCATGCAGCCACAAACACCTCTTTTCTTTTATCCCTGCTCTTGTAGTTCCTCTCACTTCTTCCCTTTCGTGCTCTCTATTAGTCACTCATTTCCCCCTCTGCTCTGGCACTAAACTCGGCCTTTAACCTGAATTTTCTTAGCAGCTCCCCTCTCCCCGTCTTTTCCCCCCCGCCTGGTTTCTCCTTGCGTTGCTGACCACTCTGTTTCTGTTTGTGCTAAAGCTTTGTCGGAGAAAATCGGCAGAGAACTGCCCAAAGGTAACCAATCCCTCCTTCCAAAGCCTGTTGTTTGCATCGCCTTGGTGGTGCGCATGAAGTGACGTGATGTTTACCCGTCTGCATGACTCCGCCTTCTTTCTGTCTTTGTTTAATTATCCGTTCTTTCCATAAATATCCTCAAAGTGATTTTTAAATTTTTTTTACTGATCCTCGTTTCCCTCCTCTCGTCTCTTCTCCAGAACGAGCTGCAAGACACGCCCGCCAAATTCCACGTCTTGTTCCTGTTTTTCGTGGCGGCCATGTTCTGCATCAGTATTTTGTCCCTCTTCAGCTACCACCTGTGGCTCGTGGGGAAGAACAGGTCCACCATAGGTAACAAATACATGAAAACAAAAGCTGAAACAAGTCCGAACCACATCCAGGCTAACTCTCAGCTAATCCAACGTCAAAAATCACAACAGCTCAGTCAGATTTACAGAATCTGAGCTAAAAAAAAATCAGGTTCGCCCAGAGATTTAACAAACATTTCTCTGGACCCTGAAGGCCCTGTTACACTAGACAACTTCTGCAAACCTATGAAACACCTTTTATGTCTGAATTGCTTATAAAAGTTGGAGCGTTTCTCCAAATAAAATGATTGTCAGAACAAGTTTGAAAAAGAACTGAAGACAATCTCAGCTGGCGGAAAACATTCAGGCTCAGAATTATTATTATTATTCAAACTTAAACACAAGGTGGTGGGTGATGTGCATCTCTTCACAGATTGCTAGATTAATTTTAAACAAGTAAAAAAATGCTCTAATGCTAACTTAATTTAGCATACAAATGGATCAGGGTGAGAATAAAGGGTTGAAATACAAAAAAAAGGTGAGTTTTTGTTTTTAGCTCTTTTAGTTGCAGTGAGTAGAGAATTAGAACGATGTGATGACGAACGATCACATTTTGTTTTGTTTTATTACTGTTTAATGATGTGAGTTTTTTATTTTTATTTTAATGYTTTTTCTCTGCAGAGGCGTTCAGAGCACCTGTCTTCAGAACGGGCTCGGACAAGAACGGCTTCTCTTTGGGTTTCCGGAAGAATATCGCTCAGGTCTTCGGAGACCAGAAGAAGTACTGGCTGCTGCCGGTCTTCACCAGGTCAGAGACAAACCTGGATGAAGTTCTGATAACATGATTGGACTTGAAGTGAAGCATTTAGCTTTAGATAAAAATATATGTATATATATCACATACACTCACCGGCCACTTTATTAGGTACACCTTGCGAGTACCAGGTTGGACCACTTTTTGCCTTCAGAACTGCCTTAATCCTTGGTGGCATAGATTCAACAAGGTACTGGAAACATTCCTCAGAGAGTCTGGTCAATATTGACATGATAGCATCAAGTCGCTGCAGATTTGTCGGCTGCACATCCATGATGTGAATCTGTTCCACCACATCCCAAAGGTGTTCTATTGATGAGATCTGGTGACTGTTGAGGCCATTAGAGTGCAGTGAACTTGTGTTCAAGAAACCAGTCAGAGATGATTCAGGCTTTATGATATGGAGCGTTATCCTGCTGGAAGTAGCCTTCAGAAGATGGTACACTGTGGTCATAAAGGGATGGACATGTTCAGAAGATGGTACACTGTGGTCATAAAGGGGTGGACATGTTCAGAAGATGGTACACTGTGGTCATAAAGGGGTGGACATGGTCAGAAGATGGTACACTGTGGTCATAAAGGGGTGAACATGATCAGAAGATGGTATACTGTGGTCATAAAGAGATGAACATGGTCATAAGATGGTACACTGTGGTCATAAAGGGGTGGACATGGTCAGAAGATGGTACACTGTGGTCATAAAGAGATGAACATGGTCATAAGATGGTACACT